TATTCAAGTCAGTAATCAGAACATATTCGTAATTCGTAGTTCGATCACAGTGCTATACAACCTTCATATCGTACATCGTTTCAAATATTCAAACCATTCCTCTGTTTATATCACTAGAAATAGAATAAGTAAACGTAAACGTTTTCTCTCCCTTTCTCACAACCTGAACAATAGGTTACAGGTACAATGGTTGTGGTGATCAAAAGATCAAAGTTTCATGTACATGAGATGAAGAACAAATTTCCTTCATGGTATGATTTAAAACAGGAAAATACTATTTCAATTCTGGAAAATGAGTTCAACACAAAACAGAACATTTAAAGCCGTTTCAACATCAGTGCACTTCATTTCCATATACCTTTCGTCATTATTACGTACATTTGCCACATTCAGACACAAAGTTCATTTTAGCCCAGTACGAACAGCTACAGGTGATGCCTCTATTGACAATACGCCTGTGAGCATTTTACCCACAGTATCCAGGTCTCGTCAGGATAACTTCTGTACTTTTCAAATGCTAACGTAATATCTGAAAACAGAGTTGCCTCCCTTTGACCAGCTACCGTAAACGTGGTATGCATTATTCAACCTTTTCTATCCCTGACATTGTCTACAATTGACTTTGTTGAGTGGATATAAGACAGGATAATGTTTGTAACGGCGGTGGCAGTATGGCTTGCAATAACATTTAATTGAAATGAAATCTTGATAATTTGAGATCGGCAAGGGACAATCACCATGTTTCGTCAATGTCGGGTGTGAGTGGGGCTGAATCTAATTTCCTTTCTAATTAAATCTCCAGAGTGTGTGAGTGAGTTGGGTTCAACGCCGCTTTTAACAGTATTGCAGTTATATCATGGCGTGACAGCTTAATGTGAGAGGAAAGCCCGAAGTGATGCTGGTCTCAGACGGTCTCCTGATCGAGTACTGGATCAAGCAGATCATAAGGAGAATTGTGTTAAATCCCCACATTAAATTGAGAATTTTGTGAGAATTGTTTTTATTATAATTTGATAATTTCATTTCAGGAATTTTGTAATATACTAGTATCACATGTGTTAAGTGTAGCTATTAACATATTTTACTCATTATTATGATGACATAAATGAATATGGGAGGACATAGGCCAATTTCGATTCTTTAATTTTGTAATGCTTATTAAGAATATCGATGAGTATTTGATATATTGTAAAACAGAAAGAAACTTGTTTATGCGAGCCTTTGTGGTAGAATTGGTGCTACATCACGTAATACAGATTTGTGTGTAGGTTCAACACGCCGTGTGAACGAGAGACTGAAGTCTCATGTAACTCCACGAGATCTCGGACTTGTTGCCAGACATATCGGGATAGGCTTTGAGTATGTCGGGATTGAACTTGGGCTCAGCGTTGTGGCTATCCAACAGGGCACATGCACACCCGTGTTCAATGTATATGCAGATCTTGATTATGCTTACTAAATGGAAGCAGTGGAATGGCAGCTCGGCCAACTATCTTGATCCAGTCAAATCACTATGGACATGTAAAGAGTGATGCGCGATCGAATGGGAGGACATTCTCAACATCCTGCAGTGACGGCCCTCCTTGTCAGTGTAATTGCACCTCGGTCGGAGAAATATTACAAGAAATGAAACTTTGTTTTTATCATTTCGAACATGACTATCGTCATACCCTTTTTACCTTGTTCAGAGATATTATAATCTCACCTCTACTTTACAGCGATCAGTAAACGGGGGGCATATCATCAGTCATCATGTTTGGGAAATAAATATATTGATCAAATCACAGTTTCTTTGTGTTTTCTGCATTTGCAAGTTTACCCCAAGAACACGTGGAGTAAAATTGTACCAATGGCGGCTCCTACCGGTTGGGCAGGACATGCGTACACTTTCACAAGACGTGGTGTCATCAGTGATTTTCAGTAATCCATTCTCATAGTTTTCCCTGCTCTTTTGCCTTTTACGCCCAATGGAATGTGTTTCGGTGGATATCCAAGACTGGTTATTCTCTGGCGTTAACATTTTATATTTATTGAATTTAGAATGCTACGGATTCGATTTACATGCGAAATATCTCCCGGAAATACTGACAGTTGATAGTGATGCTTTTAATAAAGTCAGAATCGTAAAATGGAGTCTGCTTACAACAGAGATTTCTTGTGATTATGCAAAGGGTTTTGTCGCTCTTATCCATGCAAACATCTCTGACGAATTCAAATACCTCCACCTCACAGTGATAGCAATGATTAACTACTCAGAAATTCACATACTTTCTAAATTAAATTGAATAAAAAACAGATTATACAAGTCAGTAATCAGAACATATTCGTAATTCGTAGTTCGATCACAGTGCTATACAACCTTCATATCGTACATCGTTTCAAATATTCAAACCGTACCTCTGTTTATATCACTAGAAATAGAATAAGTAAGCGTAAACGTTTTCTCTCCCTTTTATCACAACCTGAACAATAGGTAACCGGTACTTTGGTTGTGGTGATCAAAAGATCAAAGTTTCATGTACATGAGATGAAGAGTGAGTGAGTGAATATGGTTTTACGCCGCTTTTAGCAATATTCCAGCAATATCACGGCGGGGGACACCAGAAATGGGCTTCACACATTGTACCCATGTCGGGAATCGAAACCGGGTCTTCGGCGAGACGAGCGAACGCTTTAACCACTATGCTACCCGACCGCCCCCATGAGATGAAGAACAAATTTCCTTCATGGTATGATTTAAAACAGGAAAATACTATTTCGAAATGAGTTCAACACAGAACACAACATTGAAGCCGTTTCAACATCAGTGCACTTCATTTCCATATACCTTTCGTCATTATTATGTACATTTGCCACATTCAGAAAACAAAGTCATTTTAGCCCAGTACGAACAGCTACAGGTGATGCCTCTATTGACAATACGCCTGTAAGCATTTTACCCACAGTATCCAAGTCTCGTAAGGATAACTTCTGTACTTTTCAAATGCTAACATAATATCTGAAAACAGAGTTGCCTCCCTTTCACACGCCACCGTAAACGTGGTATGCATTATTCAACCTTTTCTGTCCCTGGCAGTGTCTACAACTGACTTTGTTGACTTGATACAAGACAGGATAATGTTTGTAACGGCGGTGGCAGTACGGCTTGCGATTACATGTAATTGATATGAAATCTTGACGAATTGTTTTACAACAAAATGTCATTGTGCTATTGGCCTCACGGCCACACATACGAAATAAATCTGTCTGATACTCTATCCATAAGACAAGTGAGGCGGTCTAGCCCACTTTATTTCAGAGCAAGGTATTTACAAATGCAATGGTGTATGATGACAATTCTAGCAGGCTTGATCATCAAACATGTATTGTGCTTGCAAAACATGATGCTTATTTATGCCATGTAACCTGGATAACTTCCTTCAATTGTTAGTTTGTTTTGGTTTGGTTTTGCGTATTTTCTTTATTTGCTTATAATAAACAAAGACACTTATTTGTCTTTTTCACAGGGAAAGTGTTTATTTAGATCAGGATAGTGAATATAGTTTGTGATTGGTTCTGATTATGATACACGCTGCACTGGTATGGCTCAGTCTGTGTGACTTCACTGCGTTTGGATAAGCACCTTTTTCTACCTTATACATATTCAGATATATACCCATAAAGGAACAATCGGACCCAATTGCCTCGAACTCCTGGGGACCAAAGAAATAGTTCGACTTCTCCGAAATATTTGAATTCGACCTTGATCTTGATTAGTTCTACTTTTTTAACTTTGGGGACTATAAATTGAACTCAAAACACCCATGTCGAGCATTTAGGTAACAATGATAGAAAACGGTTCAAACTATATTGCCAAATCAGTAAATCAGCACAAAATACAAATGAATGAACAACAACTTTTATTGTAAAACATAATTGTAGGTCTACAGTCACAAAGGGGTTATACAATGGGTCAACTATGGGCAATACATTACAGGCCATTTAACTAATGCAGCACTAACAAGAGGTATATGATAATAAAAGTATATTAATTACACCATGAATGTTATTAGAATAGTGCTTCTAACATCATTCGCTCCTTAGATACGTTTTTAGATACAATGTTTGTAATAAAAACGATATCTTACTGGGATTCGTTCAGTGATCTATCACATAATATGTCACATAAGAATATGTCAGATATCATGGAAGAATGTAATACCGGTTGGTTTTCCCCATGACTATATAGTCTATATGTGTTTAAGGGACACAGCTCAAAGAATTCTATTTGATCTTAGCATTTTCATGTGTGCCAAGACATCATGGAAATTAATAGGATAAATTGCTTTGAAATAAAACAATCATTATATTCCTGAATATGAGGTCACCGTGAACGTACTTTAAAGCCTATATTGCATGTACAACAGGTTACATGGCTTCGTATTGGGTGTGAGACTTCACAAGTCTGACACTGGAAAAGGGGCAGAAACAAATCAAAGTGACAATACCGACTATGATAGAAAGACACCCACGTGTTCCTGCAAGTACATATTTTACACAGCGACATGTAGCTGCAAACATTCATTGTGTACGTCAATCTGAACTCACTCCCACTAATTTCAACAAAACACTTTGCTTTAAGAAAGTTCGGAACACACTGAAATCTGCATATGTCCAGTTATAAACATTTGTAAGAAACTGTTTTGTAATCTTCTAAACATTAAAGTTAGACATGTTCCTAGAATTTGTAACGTACAATGGTTTTTTTATGTTATCGAGATGCATACAGAAACGTCAAAACTACATCGACACAAATCACTCCCACTACTTTCAACATAACACGGGGGTACGGGTGTCCCAGTCGTCTAAGGCGCCGCGATTCGCCGTGCAGAGTTGCGTCACTTTGGCACGCCAGAGACCTATGATTGTGGGTTCGAATCCAGGTTCGCCCAGTTTATGTTTCTAGGTTTGTCAGCACCATACCCGTGCTCTTGGGTTTCACCGAAGTGGTAAACGCCTGAGACCTCCATCACTTCGGGCTTTCCTCCCACATTAAGCTGAAACGCCGTGATATTACTGGAATACTGTTAAAAACAGCGTTAAATCCAACTCACACACTCACTCAATTCAACTTAAAACAATGCCTCAGGAAAGTTCGGTACACACTGAAATGTGCATATGTCCAGTTAGGAACATTTGAAAGGATCTATTATGTAATCATCTAAGCAACATAAAGGATTGTTTCGTCATGAAGTTAGCTTAGTCCTAGCATTTGTAGAGTAAAATATTTGGTTTTTTTATGGAATTGATATGCTTACAGAAACATCAATGCTACATCGACACAAATGACAAATAACTCGTTTTTTTCTGCAAACCAAATTCGGACTACTGACTCCTAAAGGAGGATGTAAAACTGTACATGTATACTGTAACACTGGACACCATAATAACAATGATAACTCCTTTCTAGACCACTTTTAGAGCTGCTGCAGCTCTATCTTTTCCCCAGACTCAGTGTAGTGAATGATGACATTCTCAGAATTACTAGTGGTATCTGAACTAGGCACTGTGTCACCAACTACTGGAGCATGGACATAGGTGGGAACATGACTTGAGTTTCCATATATGGCTTCTGATCTTTGATTGGGTGAACGTATCTCCATGCGTGCAGGATCTGTATGGAGGTTGTTAAGATTTCCGTCTATATGATATGGTTGGGATGACTGCAAGGCGACGTATCTCTCTTCCATAACACTTTGTCTGTCTGTGGAAACTGCTTGTCCCAGTTGACTCGGAACATAAACCCCTGGCAATTCTACTGATGTGTGGTTCACGGGGCACGTTGATGTTAGTGGTGTGGATGTAAGCCAACCGCCATTGTTATAGCTTCCGTGTGGAATTGACGATGATTTCATAAGAAACTGGCCATCGGTTGTCACCCTGAAACAATATCACATGCACTTGACACAACATGTCAGAGAATATAGGAAAATAGTGATGCTATTGTGACATATAATACAAAATCAAGATGTAAAAGCCTCCAGCGCTTGCGAATTCGTATCTAATGAAAAATACTCCAAACTAAATGGAAGCCCCATATACTCATGAACGTAAACCACTGAATCATTCAATATTATACACAGTGGAGCCTAATTAAGTTCAAATATTGGTTAACATAATTTCAGTGTTTTTGCAAAGTCCCCATTGACATAGGTAGCCCATGGAAAATAAGGTTTCACTTGGAACAAATAGCAATAAAGTTCATTTCACCACTATACATTTCTACAAGGTCCCCAAAACAACATACTTAAAGTCCCAAGCAATCCCAGTTTGGGAAATATGTCTAATTTACATAATCCAATATGGCAACCAACTGTCAATAGTATTTTCCATATTTCAGATGAGGTTCAATGTTTTGATAAAAAACAGCATGCGTTGTTTTGGAAAATAGTCATATTATGTTTCTAAAAAGATATTCACAGCTATTGATCGTTTTCGACTATTGACAAATCTACAAAACATCAAGATGGCCGGCAATTTCAAGATGGCCGACACATTTCCTAAATATGAGGGTAGGCTGTGGAAGCTTTTATCTCTGAAACAGTGTGCTGGGACTTATATGCATAAAACTTGTCACACTAACTGACTGGCCCAAATATCCAAGATGACCTCCAAGACATGGACAGACATGGAATATCAATACACTGTTGTTCTCTCATCACATATTTGATTGATTGATTTGGGACTTTTAGTACGTTGTTTGGGGGGCCTTGTAGAAATGCACTGTCCGTATTCTTTTTTAGCTGAAATAGATATTTGATAAATGTCTGATGGTACTGTCCTCTTCGGGGTCTCATATGGTTTCGTGAGGTTTCAAAACTGTTCTGCAAAACAGCGTATACAATATATGTGTTTGGGCTGTCAACTCAAGCATCATTTCCATATTGCTCTTACCTATCCATAATTGTACTATGGTTGCTTGTCAGGTCATGTATATTTGTTGCCTCAGTTATAATCCTTGCAATATCATCGTGATGTTGTCCCTCTGCTTTTTGTAAAGCAGTTTCTTCTTTATCGTCTTTCTCATCCACATTTGCCTTGTTCTGTAATAACACCTCCACAACCTCCCTATGTCCCCGGTAGGCTGCAAGATGTAGAGGTGTGCGGCCATCATCACGTTTATCATCCACATTTGCCTTGTTCTGCAATAACACCTCCACAACCTCCCTCTGTCCCTGCCAGGCTGCACCATGTAGAGGTGTGCGGCCATCATCAAGTTTCTCATCCACATTTGCCTTGTTCTGTAATAACACATCCACAACCTCCCTATGTCCCCGGTAGGCTGCAAGATGTAGAGGTGTGCTGCCATTATCACGTTTATCATGCACATTTGCCTTGTTCTGCAATAACACCTCCATAACCTCCCTCTGTCCCTGCCAGGCTGCATCATGTAGAGGTGTGCGGCCATTATCACGTTTATCATCCACATTTGCCTTGTTCTGCAATAACACCTCCACAACCTCCCGATGTCCCTTCCTGGCTGCATCATGTAGAGGTGTGCTGCCATTATCACGTTTATCATGCACATTTGCCTTGTTCTGCAATAACACCTCCACAACCTCCCTCTGTCCCTGCCAGGCTGCATCATGTAGAGGTGTGCGGCCATTATCACGTTTATCATCCACATTTGCCTTGTTCTGCAATAACACCTCCACAACCTCCCGATGTCCCTTCCTGGCTGCATCATGTAGAGGTGTGCGGCCATTATCACGTTTATCATGCACATTTGCCTTGGTCTGCAATAACACCTCCACAACCTCCCGATGTCCCTTCCTGGCTGCATCATGTAGAGGTGTGCTGCCATTATCACGTTTATCATGCACATTTGCCTTGTTCTGCAATAACACCTCCACAACCTCCCGATGTCCCTTCCTGGCTGCATCATGTAGAGGTGTGCTGCCATTATCACGTTTATCATGCACATTTGCCTTGTTCTGCAATAACACCTCCACAACCTCCATCTGTCCCTGCCAGGTTGCACGATGTAGAGGTGTGTTGCCATCATTACGTTTATCATCCACATTTGCCTTGTTCTGCAATAACACCTCCACAACCTCCCGATGTCCCTGGTAGGCTGCATCATGTAGAGGTGTGCTGCCATTATCACGTTTATCATGCACATTTGCCTTGTTCTGCAATAACACCCCCACAACCTCCCGATGTCCCTGGTAGGCTGCATCATGTAGAGGTGTGCTGCCATTATCACGTTTATCATGCACATTTGCCTTGTTCTGCAATAACACCTCCACAACCTCCCTCTGTCCCTGCCAGGCTGCATCATGTAGAGGTGTGCTGCCATCATCACGTTTATCATCCACATTTGCCTTGTTCTGCAATAACACCTCCATAACCTCCCGATGTCCCCGGTAGGTTGCATCATGTAGAGGTGTGCTGCCATTATCACGTTTATCATCCACATTTGCCTTGTTCTGCAATAACACCTCCACAACCTCCCTCTGTCCCTGCCAGGCTGCACCATGTAGAGGTGTGCGGCCATCATCACGTTTCTCATCCACATTTGCCTTGTTCTGCAATAACACCTCCACAACCTCCCTCTGTCCCCGGTAGGCTGCAAGATGTAGAGGTGTGCTGCCATCATCATGTTTATCATCCACATTTGCCTTGTTCTGTAATAACACCTCCACAACCTCCCTATGTCCCTGGTAGGCTGCAAGATGTAGAGGTGTGCTGCCATCATCACGTTTCTCATCCACATTTGCCTTGTTCTGTAATAACACCTCCACAACCTCCCTCTGTCCCTGCCAGGCTGCATCATGTAGAGGTGTGCTGCCATCATCACGTTTGTCATCCATATTTGCCTTGTTCTGTAATAACACCTCCACAACCTCCCTCTGTCCCTGCCAGGCTGCATCATGTAGAGGTGTGCGGCCATCATCACGTTTGTCATCCACATTTGCCTTGTTCTGTAATAACACCTCCACAACCTCCCGATGTCCCTGCCAGGCTGCATCATGTAGAGGTGTGCTGCCTTCCTCATCTTTCTCATCCACATTTGCCTTGTTCTGTAATATCACCCTCACAACCTCCCTATGACCCTGGTAGGCTGCATCATGTAGAGGTGTGCTGCCATCATTACGTTTCTCATCCACATTTGCCTTGTTCTGTAATAACACCTCCACAACCTCCCTCTGTCCCTGCCAGGCTGCATCATGTAGAGGTGTGCGGCCATCATCACGTTTCTCATCCACATTTGCCTTGTTCTGCAATAACACCTCCACAACCTCCCTCTGTCCCTGCCAGGCTGCACCATGTAGAGGTGTGCGGCCATCATCAAGTTTCTCATCCACATTTGCCTTGTTCTGTAATAACACATCCACAACCTCCCTATGTCCCCGGTAGGCTGCAAGATGTAGAGGTGTGCGGCCATCATCATGTTTATCATCCACATTTGCCTTGTTCTGTAATAACACCTCCACAACCTCCCTATGTCCCTGGTAGGCTGCAAGATGTAGAGGTGTGCTGCCATCATCACGTTTCTCATCCACATTTGCCTTGTTCTGTAATAACACCTCCACAACCTCCCTCTGTCCCTGCCAGGCTGCATCATGTAGAGGTGTGCGGCCATCATCACGTTTGTCATCCATATTTGCCTTGTTCTGTAATAACACCTCCACAACCTCCCTCTGCCCCTGCCAGGCTGCATCATGTAGAGGTGTGCTGCCATCATCACGTTTGTCATCCACATTTGCCTTGTTCTGTAATAACACCTCCACAACCTCCCGATGTCCCTGCCAGGCTGCATCATGTAGAGGTGTGCTGCCTTCCTCATCTTTCTCATCCACATTTGCCTTGTTCTGTAATATCACCCTCACAACTTCCCTATGACCCTGGTAGGCTGCATCATGTAGAGGTGTGCTGCCATCATTACGTTTCTCATCCACATTTGCCTTGTTCTGTAATAACACCTCCACAACCTCCCTATGTCCCTGCCAGCCTGCATCATGTAGAGGTGTGCTGCCATCATCACGTTTCTCATCCACATTTGCCTTGTTCTGTAATAACACCTCCACAACCTCCCTATGTCCTTGCCAGGCTGCATCATGTAGAGGTGTGCTGCCAGCATTATCTGTCACATGACTTATTCCCTTGTTCTGTAATAACATTTTAACAACTTCTGCATTCCCATATATACATGCCAAATGAAGTCCAGTTTCACCCTTCTTGTTTGGATTACCAATTGCCACTGATTCCTGTAACAGGTAGCTTACAATGCTAACATTTCCAACTGCACATGAGTAATGTAAAGGTGTTGATCCTTCAGGACCTATGATATTGATGCTACGTTTTCCCTTCTTTATAACTATATCCATGATATCTTTGCCCTTTTGACACATGGCTGCATAATGTACATATGTATTCTTTCTTGAACTGTTCTTGTTCTTGCTCGTCTTCATCAAATGTAACAGTCTGGAAGCCACTGTAGACAACCCACCCATACAGGCAATGTCCAGAAGTGAACATTCACCAAACTTTACTCTCAGATCATCTACAACTGCCAACTGCAGTTTGATGATAAGAGGTCTTGGGAGTTTGGGTACCGGCATAGACAACGTATCCAACTTCAAGTTATTTTTGGAACAAATGTACTCGAAGTTGGCCAAACTACTCCCAAAGCAACTTCCAAACAAAGCTTTCTCTGTGTTCTTTACCTTAAACTGAACACTGTTCAATGCTTTCTTCAGCAAATTCGAGTTGTCTGTGATGCTCGCCCAAAACAGAAAGGAATATCCATATATAATGTCATTTTTTGACAATACTTTCAACAGTTCAGATCTGTCCTTGTTCAGATTTTGCAAGAGATTCTCCCAAACCATATTAACAAATGCCTCTACCTGGAATAGGGAATGCATGCACACAAAGGCAAACTTTCTGCCATGTACAGCTGCAACAAAACGCTTCGCTACAATATGCAGATCATCATGTTTCAATTCGATTTTAAAAGGCACATCTAGTTGTTCCTCTTCGGTTGGATCACCGCTAGATGTCACATAATGAAATATGAACTCGAGATCCATCCTTTCAACCAACTGTCTCACATCACTGAGCAGTATTTCTCTTAGCTTTATTGCTACTTCATGATTTCTTATTCTATATGAGCCTCCTTCGTGATGGAGACAGCATCCCGCCAATTGGGATAAAATAGGTTTCATCATATTTTCAGTGTATTCTTTTTCATTGATGTCAAAAACCTTGAGTGCCCAAATAATATATTTTTTGTAAGTTTCTCTTTCCACGCGAGTCCCTGTGTCAGACCCTGCCCATAGCATCCTCTCCTCCAGGTTATTCTCCGCCAAAGCAACCACTAACAAACACGCCATCTTCTGCTTATGCAACAGGTGTTGATCCAAACATGGATAGTCCTCTGTATCTGTGAAAACAAATAACGTTTATAAGAAAGTAGTGTACAACATTGCACATGTAGATCTAAAATATAATACCTTGCGTAACGCCTTACAATTACGTAACATAGTAATGATCTCCAGAATGCATACTTTCTTCAATGGCGATAGCACAGTCGGTTCCTTCATGTGTTTCATGTCCATCCTCTTCATGAATAGTTGGACCTCCTTGTTCTGTTGTCATTGTACAGCTATTTTCCAGTACATCTCTTGTCTCCAGTGTTACAGTTTGAATTTCGTTTGTGACATTACCCTGTCCATCAACTGCCATCATGTGATTTCCTCCACCCTGTACATCTCCCTTGTCCTTGGCATACTGTAGTATCCTCTGAAGTACATACAGCCTGTATTTCTCAACGTGACAGTTCCTCATGATGCCTGGAGACTTCTCCGACAAAATTGCATCAGCAGCCTGAGAATATGAAAGTTAGAAATGAAAAGGTATCTTTCATACGTGGTTATTGAGACACATGTTGCCTTTCATATCAAAAACATAGCTACAAACCAACCTACCATCAGAACGAATAAACCACAGCTGTGTCCATCAGACTGTTCTATCACTGGGTACTGTTTCTTCATCCATGACTTGCTCCCTTCCTTAGACGTAGATTTCAAGTGGTTTACAAAGAGCCTGAGGAATACATGTATATTACTCGATGGCGATAAAGTCTTCAAC